CATTTTAATTTTACACAATTGAGAGAGAAGAATGAAGAATAGAGAAAAAGAAAAAAAGACAGATTTAATTATATATATTGTATATATATATATAAAACAAAATATAAAATATATTTACTCGAATGGGTGGATCGGCCAATTTTGGCGAATATTTGCAATCCTTCATGATATCCTCGCAAATCTCTAAAAAACGCTCAAATAGCTTCGTCTGCAGGAAAAGCCCAATTTGTCTATCTGTAACAAAAGCCATTATAAATTTGAGTATTTGTAATTTTACTAATAAATTAATTAATTTTGCGCATCATTTACGCTAATATACTCGTGATTTTAAATCGTTTGGATCTTAATTTCTTGGATTCTTTGTGTAATATCTTAAATAATATATTTTATTTAAAATAATTTTTATATATTTAAATCGACAAAATTTTTTAAATTTATTATAGAGCAGAATGCTCTGTATAATACACGAATAACGTACCACCCATATCAAGGAAAACTTGAACCTGACTGGTAAGTAAATCGGAATCCTTCGTAAAAGCACCATCTTCCATTCGTTTCTGCAGAGCTTCTGAGAAGTTTTGACTAAAATACAGTAAACCACTAAGTTTACCATTTTGTACAGCATGACTCGCTTCGGAAACGTCGTCATAATACTCCTGAAAGCGAAGTATTAATAAGAATCTTCCAGAAATACATTAACGTTTATTAATGACTGCATTCAGCAGAAAAAGCAGCTTTGGGGTGAGAGTCGAAGGTGGGAGTCGTGCGTCCCTTTGCAGGGGTTGAGGGGGGGTGAGAGTTAGGCGCCCCTTTGCAGGGGGGAGGGGGGTAAGGTCAAAGGTTAGAGTTATCTGACTTTTCATGTAAAGCAGTGAAATAATTACTAACTTTAACTGTTAGTAACTTTTTAACAAATAACAAGCGACGGCTAAAACTTGTTGGAGGTCACTCAGGGTCATGACCTTGACAACATATGTTAAGGTCAAGGTTATCAGAGCTGGCTCCCCTCATCAGCATAATTACTAAAATTTTGATTAAGTGAATCAAGATGAGATGTTGTCCATGCAATATTAGATTTTGTTTGGTTGTTAAAAATGATACTGTATAAAATTTAACAAATTTGTAATGTAAATTGAAATGTAAATTCATGTGTCAAATTTTAAATAGATTGAACAAATAGATAATAAACTTACAAAGTAATCTATATGTCAGGAACTATTGAAATTTTTATGTCCAGGCAACAAACGGTGCTTCGTATCAGTAACGAGGTAAACGATTAAATGATATACGTTGCTGATACATTATTATGTTTTGTGTTAAATTGTCGTCGTCAAAGATACAATAAAGACAATTAAATAAACGAATTAAGTACACTGAAATAAGAATCGTCAAGATCATCCGTGTCTTTTTGTAAATTAATGCCATTAAATATGTATACATCTTTATTTGCTCGTTTTTATTTTTATGCTATTTTAATACATACGTTTTTTATTCTTATACTGTTTTAATTCATACGTTTTTTATTTTTATACTGTTTTACTGCCGCTAGCGTTCTAACATTGACAATAGCTCGAAAATTTAATAAATTGGTTGTATTTATTATCTGAATAAGACATATGTAAAATCTGAAGTCGATTCTCTCTAGTTCACGAATTATCCAATTCATTTTGCATGAGTTCTTATGGAATTCTTATGGAGTATTCCTGGTGGAAATAAATCGCTGAAATCTATATCAGTTGACCCATTTTAGTATAATTCATACTGAAATGGGTTAATTGATATAGATTTTAGTGATTTTCAGTAATTTCAGCGTTTTATTTCCACCGGGCTGCAGCATATTTCCCATTTATATCAACAAAAGTATAAAGAAGCAACATTGCCAATATTCTGAAACTTTGTTTGTGAGTAAATAAAATACTGAACAACGTTTCTAAAAAAAATTCATACATTTACTAATCCGTTATCAAGATATTAACGATAAAGTAACATAAAATTCTGAATTGATTACATCATTACATAACCATACTTCGACTGCTCAAAACGTGGCAACAATGTCAATAGTACGAAGGTTAGTTTTCGTATCTCCTTGATTTTTAAGTACCATGTAATGTTTGATATACATTAAACGTTATTAATATGCAGTAATGTCTTTCGGTTCTTACAATTGATTTTAGGGAAAATTCACGTCCAAAAGTTATTTACCGACGATTACAAAAATACAAATATATTCATTTATAATGCCAAATATCACATTAACTGACATTATTTAGGTGATACGCGATACGAGCACATACGGCGAATATTTTAACTTATAAAGGTATAGAATTTCATCAATTTCAAATTTGAATAACTTTTATCTAGGACTGTAGTCAGAACATTCTTAATAATACGTACGAGCGACTTGATTTCTCGTTTTAATTTTAATTCAAATTGTTGTACCTGTGTCGCGATGGAGTCATCAAAATTGTGTAAAAATCTACAGCTGAGATTGCCAAAGTGACAGGTGATTTCATCATTCCAAACATTGCCAAAGTTGTTGCCGTAATCGCAGGTACCTGCTTCATCATTAACAATTCCAATCTTCAAATCTTTCGGATCATCGCCAATTGCCATAATAAATACGAAGACTTGAATTATTGGAAATATTACTGCGAAAACTAATCCTCTGAAAGAATATTATTATTATTATTATTGTTATGAAATGTGGAACTATTTGATAAATTTGAATTTTTTGAAATATAATATTTTATACATGTACAACGATTCAATGCTGTATGTACAATATAGGATAGATAATCGCAAAATTCAAAAATAAAACAGTAAAAATTTGGTTTTATAGAGATAAAAAAATGTATAATAATTCATTAACTATCTCATCAATTAATTAGAAAACTAATTATTGATAAATTTATTGGTAATTATTTACCCATAATAACGAAAGTATTGTATGCCGTTCTTCGTCAATAGAGCTTTGAATATTTTCAATCGTGAAATTTGACGTTTCGAAAGCTCTTTGTATTCCGAGATTACCTTAACATATTCAAATTATTTGTATCGTACAATAATATAAATTGACATAGCTTTTTACAACAATGAGGACAGCATAAATTATTTCTATATATTGTACATACTTTTGTTCGTTCATATTCATTTTGAGACAAGACGTCGCTACTGACATCTTCCACTTTGAATCTCTCAGCTTCATTATTCAAAGTATTATTCTGTGCCTCGCACAATTTCAGGAAAGCCTCCTCTAAGAACGAACATTGAAATTGCTCCAGTAATTTTTGCGGTGCCGATTCCGCCAACAATTTACCACATCTCATCAAACCGATCTGTGTAGCATCGAAGAATGAATTTGTATCATTGAGTATATAAAACAAGATTCTTCTTAAATTAAAAACATTAAAGCTTACAGAATATTTTGCAGCAACTTTTTTAAATTATTAGGACTATTTACTGGAAACAAAACTCACTTTATTAGCATCTTTAGTCTCTTCGATGTAGTGCGTCGTAATCAACACAGTGATATCTTCCTTTTGTGTGATCTGAATCAAGTAGGCCCAAATGCTACGAAGAAAAAGAACATTTAAACATTTTTCTATTATTTTATGCTTGTGTTTAAAAAGAAAGTAAAATCTACTTGCTTCTCCCTCAAAATTGGGTCTAAGCCCACAGTGGGTTCGTCCAGGATTAAGAGTTCGGGCCTATGGATCAATGCGGCAGCAAAGGAAACCCTTCTTTGCTGACCTCCACTCATGTTCTTCACTAGGCGATCTGCTGGAGGTAGTTGGAGCAAATCCGAGAAGAACTTCTGTCTTGTCTCTTAGAAATAATACAGAGAAGCTATAGTTGTTTCGAAATAATTTATAGTGTGAAATATTTCGCGTACGAGCAATTCAAAACAGAAACTGAAAGTTTAAAAGATGTTTACTTAAAGGTATTTTGTGAAATTGAAACTTTTCGGAATATATGCGATTTTTCGCGTGCAATGAGAATGTTCATCTTACCGATCTCTTCATCGTCGAGTCCGTTGATTCTGCCGAAATAATATAAAGCACCGTTCACAGAGAACTCTCCGACCAAGGAGATCTCTTGTGGCATGTAACCCACTCGAGGCCCGGGAATGCCAGAGCCCTTGCTGCCAGGATTTCCCCCCAAGACCCATATCTCTCCACTGTCAAGATATCGAACCCCGACGACGCAGGACAGCAGAGTGGTTTTGCCGCATCCGCTCGCTCCCAACAAACCATATCTGTTTAAAGGAAGAAGTTGTTGTGCGTTTACACGCTTCATCTTATTTTAGACGACACATTCGAACGATAAGAGAGAGGGGCACATAAAATAGTAAATATTTCCTTTGATTTCACAATAAAAAACGGCTTTATAATCGTTTTCCAGTATAGATTCTCTTTCGAAATCAACTTATCAGCCAATCTATCTACTCACGTTCGCACTTCATCGAAGAACAATGGCGGTTATTGTTTCCCTTGTGATACTGTAATTAGTCTGAACTGTTGGCAAGACTTGTTAATAAAGTATTGGTCACAATCTTATAGCTTTGATCATTAAATTCGCATGAACATAACGATCATTCGTTGGCAAAAGCAATTAGCCTAGTACTAACAACACACAGTGGTGCCTAAACAGTGGTGATCTGAATCTGAATTTTAAAAAATTTGTTTGGAGAACGTCCAGATATCTTATGTGACATCAATATCAGTCCGATGTAACTATGTAATATGAAAATATAGAATTTTAAGAGAAATTAGAAAATATTTAACTATATATCTATCAAATCTTCATTATCCATTTAATTTTTCTGCAATATACTATAAATACTCGTATACTTATAATCTCAAATTGACATTTAAGAGTATCAAATTAACTATTTCACTTTCCGAAATATTAAAACGCTGCAAAGATGCTTTTAGGCACCACTGTGCGATTTTCGCGAGATCGTGATATGGCGGGCGAAAGATGATATCGCCGTCCAGTGCACCTGATAAAATCATCAAGCAAACCCACGACTCACTTCAGTCTCGTCGTGTCATGATGATTATTAGTATCATCGCGATCCTGCTACTCACAAGAGGAGTTTTCTCCTCTTTGCCAGTCCAAGGATCGATATCGATGATACGTAACAATAAAATGTTGATTGATCTACACGCGAACAAATTGAGCGATTTTAATGAGTTGATTGAAAAACTACAAAGAATGGAGAATCCGCAAGTCCGTATCATAATTAATTTGGAAAGGAAAATTATTGAGATTAATGGCAAAACTGATTTTGAAGAGGATTATTTTAGTGAGTTGACTTGTTTTTAATAACTAGATATACTTGTTAGATATATATCCTTTTAATAACAAATTCTACGAACAATTTAGAGTAATTGTTTTTTTATTAAAAACATTAATATATCAATCATTTCTGAATCATAAACAATTTAAGAAAAAAAGCTTTTCTCGAATTAAATTTCGGAAAATTAAATAAATAAAAAAGATATAGTCTCTTCTCTCTCTCTCTCTCTCTCTCTCTCTCTCTCTCTCTCTCTCTCTCTCTAATTAATTTTGGAAGTCTTTTATTTTAAGAAACTTTTTATTTGAGATGTAATGTATTACAAAGATCATGGGCGTCGACTATAGTGTGGTTGATGTGGAATACTCCACACACGAAATTTTTTCGTGTGTGGAATTCCACACTTGGAAATCCGAAGAATATAAAAATTATTTCTTGATGAAATAATTTATTATTTAATATTTTAATAAAAATGAAAGTTGATTAAACTAAATATGAAAAGTCATATGTTTACAACTCGATTCGCGGTTGCCGCTTTCACGACTCTCGGTCCCTCTATCGATATTTTACTAGTGTTCAATGTTTTTACACGCCAATAATGCCTGGTTTATGCTTCGGTCTTAACTCTAAAATCCTAAAATTCAGCCAATAGGGCTGCCAGTTTTAACTGGTTCTAACTGAAATCTGTATTCCATTGGCTAAATTTTAGGATTTTAGGATTAAGACCGAAGCATAAACCAGGCATTACAAAAGATAGACGAAATTAAGGTTGGACTAGAGTTCTTCTAGGGACTCTAGCAGACTCTAGGTTGGACATCCTGCTACTGATGTCATATAGTGACACACACAGCCAGCTTTATGAGTTTCAATCTCATCTCATGTACATAGTACACATACAGCCTTGCAATCCTTTATAACGATTTGACCGAATAAGTATGGGTGAGACGGCTATATATGGATAAATATATTATTCGAACAGATAAAAGGCCTGTGTGTGTGCCATCTGTGCCCGTTACAATGTGTATGAATGCTGAGCCTGAAAATTCCAACGACAATACGTATTCGTACGTTCGACAATGCTTCCTATTTTGTTAAATAGTACGGCTGCATATTCATTCAGATGTAGTTCAAAATCTGGATTTAGAAGCTGTAATGGACGAATTCATAAGAAGGAACAAAGTTCGGAATTCTACATTCGCGTGTTCAACGGAGAATAAGTAAAACTGTTGCAAGTGTAGAAGTAAGAAAAAGAAACATGAATTGTCAAGGTGTGTATACATATATATATATATACACATATATACAGGTACCTGTACATATATATACAGGGTGTTTCCAAATTAAATCGCAAAACTTCGGGAGCGTGTAGAGGAGTAAAAAACTAAGAAAAAAAGTCCTATAAACATATGCTCGTTTTTGCTCCGTTTCAGAGAAATCGAAAAAAAATGTTTACATTTCTTGCCATATCTAGCACC